AACGAGCTGTAAGACAAATCCTAATTTGCAAGGAAGGGCTTGGTACCTGTGGGGCCCCTCTCCTCGCTCTTCTATACTTACAGATATAGAGCTGAGGTGGACAGGGGTTGGGAATAGGGTTCCTGGGTGGAGAGTTGGGCGGAGGCAGTTACCCAGGGACACAGAGCTGGTTCTGAGGAGAAAGTGCATCTGTGACTCCCAGTCATAAGCTCAGAGCTACAGAGCACTCAGTGTCCAGCCTGGTGCTACCTGGACTTGGAGAATAAATGTGAATGTCCAAAAGGAAGCACACAGAGAACCTCAGCGTTCTGCAATATGCTTAGGCTTTGTGCTTTTCATTCTTGTATAACCATAACCCAAAACACATTAATAGAGGAATATGAACAAGGGTGATCAAAATTCCCACTGACAGCATCCAGTTGATAGCCTTCTTCACCGAAATAGAATCCCACAGGTATAGAACAGGGGTGGAGAGTCCGAGGAGAACCGGGGCTGTCCTGGCAACACCCGCCTGTCATTTTTTCCCTGTCTGTTAGAAAGGAAAACCTGGGGCAGTGTGATGTCAGAGGAGGGAAGAGGACCAGGGCCAGGTCAGACAGAAGTTGCAGGACTTAGCTGCTTTTGGGCAGCTGAACGGCCCTTTGGGGTGCACTGCCCCCCAGCACAATCTGGCAGACAGCATTTCCTCCTCGGGCAGGGCCTCCCACCCTCCTCTGCAGCCCCTGCTACCTGCAGATGGGAACCTTTCTGGGTCTGTCCACCCCTGAACACAGCTCCACCTGTCTTTCTACCTGCTTCGAGCGGGGAGCAGATTGAACATGATGTAGGAGTCAGGCATACACTGTAGGGGTCCCAAGCAGAAAAGGGTCACAGCTCCAATTACAAACAGTGGTGAGGGGAGGCCTCACTGATGAGGTGACAAAATGGGGTGGGGTGCTGGGAAAGGGTGGGAACAAGCTATGGCAGTGTTCAGCCTGGGAAATCCTGCCTCCTTCCAGCCTGGTCCAAATGCCCCTTCTTTTGGGAAGTTCCCCCAGCTGCTCCTACATCCTGGCTCGCACACATTTCCTGGGGCATCCATCACCCTGCACCTGCTCAGGCTGGTGTTTTCTTTCCTGCAGGAATAGCCCTCCTTTAGGTGGACCCCATGTCTCCTCCAACTACAGTGCCAGTCCCCCAAAGGCTGTTTACTGTAGTATCCAGCCTCAGTAGGTGTCCCACAGGTGGTACTAGAGCACTGCAGATGGGCACTGGGTGAAGGAAGGGCTGGGGATTACCTGTCCTCAGTAGGAGGACTCCTGACAGTAGGAACCTCCCCAATTTAGCTTTCTAACCAGCCCTCTCTGGCCCCAGATTATCCAGTGTTTAGTGACTACCGATTCCACTCCATGTCTCTTGCTCTACATCCTGGGCCAGGAGGCGGCACTGAGTAGGCAACTGAGTAGGTGCCAGGAGTTACAGATGGTACCCTGTCATTCTCCATGAGGCCGTTCTCCAGCAGAGTCACTTGAACTTGTCACATGATTACAGGGCTGTTGAGGTGAGTTCTGGAAAAACAGAGCACCACACCTGCAGGGCTCCATTAGTCAAAGCAGATGCAGGTGAGCCCAAGTCCACCCACCTCTTCTTGTATGCAAGGAGGGAAGAGGCGGTGGCACAAACAGCTTTGGGAAAGGTAGGAAGTCACTGTGAGGGGTTGAATGGGGAAATGACATACCATGGTCTGTGGTTTAAGTGCATGGGACCCTGTTAAGTCAGACTTCCTTTTGCCTGTCCCCTGCTCCCCTTGGCCTGCAAGGGTCAGGCCGGGTTCCTGCCCATGAATGCTGCGGTCTACCCAGGCTCTGCTGCGGCCACATGAGCCCAACTTGGAAGGAGCCAGAGGACATTGGGCTGAGCCAAAGGGGCTGAGCCTGTGGGCAGCAAGAGCAAGGTGAGCTGGTGGCCTGAGCCCAGTCCCACGGGTGCCTCCAGTGGCTGACTGTGGGCTCTCATGAGAGGGTAAAGCACAGCATTCAAGACGCGCGCGCGCGTGTGTGTGTGTGTACGTCGAGTTGGCCTGGGTTCAAATCTCACTTGTTACTTCCTGTTTGTTGGCCCCTTTTTTCTCCACAAGTCTTGGTTTTCTTATCTGTGCAATGGGTTTCCCCTCTCTGGATTGTTGATGAGTGAAATGGGCAGGTGTGGCCACTCCCTGACTGGTGAAAATGACTATTGCTTGGCTGTCTAGCATTGGCTCTAATGGCAGTAGTGCTCAGTCTTTGCCTTTGCTTCCATTCCTAGCTTCATTTTGTTCCCTGTGCCAGCTGTCTAGGGGATGTGGAACCTTCCTACAGCACCACCGTGTTCTTCCAGAAAACCTATAGTGGAGGATTGTTTTATTGAAACATAAGTTGTCTTGGGGGATATATGCATTATCCCATCCGAAGACATCTGGAGCCTGGAGAGCTTTTTTATCCTAGGAATTTGGGAAATCCACATTCCTGTCATTACAGGACCCACATCAGCAGAAGTTCCTTGTGGAGGAAACTGCAACATCCTGTGCGGGCTCGGTAGTATTTTACCACCAGGGGGCGCTGCCCAGCTGGTCTCTGCCCCACTTCTCAAGGAGGCAAAGGTTTTTGCTTGTTAGAACACCCTAATGACCAATGAAGCCAGGCTTAGAGAGGGGGTGGTGGTGGTGGGAAGCTGCATAAGACCACCCAGCTTGTAAGCAGCAACATGAGGATCTCTTTTAGACTGCCTGTGGCCAACTTCAGGGAGCCACACTTGTCCAATGGGAGAGGTGTCACGGTGACAGAGGGTGCCCTGCTCAACCTCCACCTGTCACAGCTGAGGTTCCTATCCTGTCCTTTCCTTCTACCACATATGAAGTCACTGCCTTGGGAGGGTTAGGAAACCACTTGGGATCAACTTGGGTGGAGCCCTTGGCATTCAACTAAGATGCAGTTTTCCTGAGCACAGCCTGGACTCTTTAGGAACAGCATTCAGCCCTGGGAGAGCTTCTTACAGGTCCCAAATAGCCACGGGAACCCAGTCTACAGCTGCACCGAGTCTGGTGAAGATGGGGGATATGGGTAGCCTGGACAGCTGCACTGATCCAGAGTGCCTCATGCCACCATGCAGCGATGTCAGACATCCTTATGAGTCCTATACATGCAGCCTCTGTTAAACGTCACACCAGCCCTCAGAATTGCACCACTATTGTTTGCATCTCACAGAGAATACCTAGGCTCAAGGCTCACATTGCCTTAACAGGTCTGGAAAAGAAGGGCTTGACTTCATTCTCCATGTCTGCTACTGTCTGGCAGGCTGAGCAAGCACTGGGGCAGCTGGGTCTTCTCCTTTGCTCGGAACTGAGTCTGCAGACAGAGGTCTGCTAGGACATGACTGTGTCTTTCAAAGGTTTGCAGGGCATTGATTCACAGGACAGGGAAGAAGGAAAGAGCCAGCATTTCCAGGGCCCACCCAGGGAGTCCAGCAGGTGCACGGCTCAGCAAGTGGCAGCTCCAGGGGCAAGCAAAGGCTCATGAGAGGTGGCGACAGAGGAGCCTCTCGTTAGCATGGAGGGCGCACATGTGCTGCAGAGGGGTGGTATCTGCCTGGTAGCAAGGCCAGGGTGCTGGGGGCCTGGGCTGCGGAAGCAGCAGGAGATTGAGGCCTCCTTCCCAGGACACTGGCCATAAGGACAGGGATGGGGTGCAGAGAGATGCGGATATCTGGGGAAGAGTTTCCCCAAGGAGCACGTAGCAGCACCTTCTTCATTAATGTCAAGAATACACAAATACACAGTGTGTGTGTGTGTGTGTGTGTGTGTGTGTGTGTGTATTTGAAGTCACATGATAAAGTCCTGTTACAATTTGTGATTTCTTTTTTCTTTCCCCACTACTGGTGGGCAGGATTATCATTATCATCCTCAGAGACGGCAAACAGCCCCCACAGGATGAATGGCTTTGCTTAGTCGTGGGCTTGATAGTTCAAAGGCCAGGGCCAATTCAGGCCCCTGGCCTAGCTCCAGGTTCCTGAGCCGGACCTTCAGCCAACCCCTGCACATGTCTATCTGAGTGGGAGCCTTTAGGATGAAGTGTGCAGGAGAAAAGACTGGCCAGCAGAAAGGCCCTGCGCTGGCCTCTGGGTTCTTCCCAGGATCTCAAAGGAGGTGGCAGTGGACTGGGTTCTGGGAATCAGACTGTGCCCCTTGCAGGCAGCATAGCCCTTGCAAAAGGGCTGAGTCCTTCACACATAGATGCTTTGTTAATCTCTCTGACACTTCAGGAGGAAGGTTTGACAGTGACTCTTGTCCTACAGGGGAGAGAGGATGGGCAGAGATTGAGTGACTTCCCCAAGGTCACTCAGTAAGTGGCAGAGCTGGGGTTTGAACCCAGGAAATCTGCCTGGGGAGCTGTTCTGCCTGTTATTAGTAACAATCAGTGCAGCTACCACAGAACTGGCACCTTTCCAGTCTGGTGCTGTCATTCCTCAGTGAGGCTGTGACAGGTAGATTAGTTCTCTGAATTTCTCATCTCACAGGTAAGTAAATTGGGCCTGGCAGGGCACAGGGGTTAGCCGACTTCAGACTCTCAGATGCTGTCTATGCAGCCTTTTTGATTCCAGAGTCACCTTGGGCAAGTTCATTGTTTTGGAGCCTCAGTTTCCCCCTCCTCGGGCAAGCGGGACGTGAGCATCGCTGGCAGCTCTGGAGCCCTACCTGTCCCCTTGGCCTATCTCTACTTTGGCGAGTCTAGGCAGGAAGCAGTCAAGGTGCTAAGTGGGGACAGCCAGCGCTGCTTCTTGTCACCGAGTGGAGAGGGACCCCGCCGTGCTTTCGGGAAGGGCAAAGGACCGGCAGCCACGTGCTCCACCGGGCGGCTGTGCAGGGAGCAGCCTGTCCTCCCGGGAAAGTGAAGCCCCCTACTTGAGTAGGGGGCGGGGAGGGAGCGCGGGAGGAGGCAGGGGGTGGGGGCAGAGGGAGGCCGGCGTAAGCGGACAAAGGAGGCGGCCGGCAGCCCAGCTGTTTTGAAAAATGCTTCCTGTTTCTTTAAAGGCGCTCGCAGCGGCTCGGGCGGCCGGGCCGGGGAGGCGGTGGCGGCGGGAGCTGCCTCCTCTCCGGGCGGCGGCGCTGACTGATCTCGCCAACCGGGCTTCTGTGTAAACTGAGGCTAAACAAACACAGATGGAGCGCAGCGGGCGTGCTGCAGAAATGCTGGCGAGGCGGCCAGGACTTCAGATGACACTCTGAGCGCTGGGGACACACAGCCCGTGGCTTCGCGCGGAGCCCAGGGCACAGCTGCCCGGGGCGAGGGGAGAGGTGGGGAGGGAAAGGGCGAGCCGGGGACGCCATGAAGCCCCTTCCCGCCCTCGAGGACCGCTCGTGGAAGCCCATGTGCGTGCAGGAGCTGCACGGCCTCAAGAAACTCAGGCGGAAAGGCAAGGAGCCGGCACGGCGCGCGAACGGCTATAAAACTTTCCGATTGGACTTGGAAGCTCCAGAGCCCGGCGCCACGGCCACCGTCACCGTCACCAACGGGCTGCGGGACAGGACCCAGCGGCTGCAGCCGGCCCTGGCCCCAGTGCCAGCCCCAGTGGCGCGGGGGGCTCCCTCAGCCGTGGGCGCAGACCCCGCAGGGGAACGCAGGGGCGCCCGGGCACCTGAGGTACAGGACGCCCGGCGACGCGGCTTCGCCCTGGGCGCAATGGGACCCGCACTCCCCACGCCACCGCCGCCCCCACCAGCGCCCCCGGGCCTAGCTCCTGGGCGTCCGGAGACGCAGTCTTTTCGGGAGCCGGGCGTGCGTCCCCGCATCTTGCTGTGCGCACCGCCCGCGCGCCCCACGCTCTCTGCGCCTCCCGCACCCCCTGCGTCAGCTGAGTCCCCTGTGCGCCCCTCGCCCCCCACGCGCCCGGGGGAAAGTTCCTACTCGTCAATTTCACACGTAATTTACGATAACCACCCGGATTCTTCAGCGTCGCCTAGGAGACGGCAAGGCGAAGCTACAGCGGCTTCGTCGGAGATCAAAGCCCTGCAGCAGACCCGCAGGCTCCTGGCGAATGCCCGCGAGCGGACGCGCGTGCACACCATCAGCGCGGCTTTCGAGGCGCTCAGGAAGCAGGTACACCTAGAGTCTCAGCACCGTGGCGCAATGGGTTGGCTGGATACTGGGCCAGGGACCGTAGGCTGGTTAAGGGGGCATTTAACTGGCTAGCTGGCCGCTCGCGATCCAGCGGAACGCAGACCCGCGCAATCAGCGCTGGTGCGCATCTTGGTTTGCTAAGTGTGGTCGGTTTTGGAGATCTCCGGCCATGGCCCACCCCAGCAGCCTGCCCCAGGGGAACCCGGTGTGCACGCCTGACTTCAGTCCCCATCATTCACTTTTATGGCAGTGAGGATTTGTCTCCCAGAATTCCTCGGACGCGGTGGGGAACAGGAACAGAGAAGGGGAACGTGAGAATCTGTCTGGGGCAGGGGGAGGGGAGAACGACCTTTCTCCTCTGGTCATTTGGAGTGGTTGGGGTCTTGGCCCCCTGTTGGTGGCCACGAGGAGAGCACTGAGGAGGTGCAGACCTGTGGTTGCAGGAGATTAAGGGGCAGTCGGGAGCCGCTCACCTTTCCTCTGGGCTCTGGACCCATAGCTTGGTAGCCTTGAGGACCAGGCCAACCCAGCACCCTCACCCCAAGGGCGGCTTCTGGAGTTGGCTGGTGGTCCCTTCCTCCAGGGGAAGCAGGGGCTCTGCAAGGACTTGGCTGCAGCTGGTGGGGGTTTCCTTCCTGGGATCTTCAGGGTGAGTTGGGGGCTTCTCATTCTGGGGCTGGAGGGTCTGCTTTTCCCCAGATGGTGGCCCTGCTGGGTGGTGGGGGAATACTTAACTCAGGAATTATTGCCTACAGAAGAGGACAGTTTACAAATTCACTTTAGACAAGCTGGGCACTGGTCTGGAGTTCTAAACTCATCTGCTTAGAAAGAGTAGGAATCGAGAAAAGGGGTAGTGAGCCCCCGGCCTAGATAGTGGGGAGGGTTGGGGTGGGTGTGATGGTTTGATGGGTGAAGTTTTTTGCTTGCTTTGCAGCTGATTTCTTGTTTGACTCTTGGCGAGTTATTCAACCTCTCTGGGCTTTAGCCAAGCACAACACATTTCAAAAACCAGAATTTTCTTTTTAGAATGCCCTCTCTTTTCCCACCTAGGGGTAAGGAGGAACAGTGTTACTTGTGGGCATTTGGGCAAAGGACTTTGATACCTTGGGGAAAGGGCTCTCTAGCTTTTGAGCCAAAGTTCCTTGCTAGAGTTCAAGAGAGCAGTGTGGTCAGTGAGATGGCATGGGAGTCAGGTGTCTGTCACAAACCAGGCTAGGCCATTGCCGATGGCCACACCAGCTGGGACCCTGGGCAGGGGGCCCACTGGAACTGTCAGTCCCACCCTGGACTGGCAGTTCTGTGCCTGAATGCCTGGGTGGGGGCGGCAGCTTGTGAGGCGCCCTGTAGTCTGGGCCACAGGACCAGTATGACAGAATGGCAGGGTGATGTCTGGCCACCTGCTCACCTGGCCCCTGGGAAAGCCCCTCGGTTAGGAGGCCCCATGTCCACAGCCTCACAGCTGGTGAGAAGTGGACAGGGCTGACAGCTGGGTCCTTGGATGGGCAGGCCAGCTCCCTCTCTGCCCTCCAGCCAGCTGCCTCCTTCAGTGCTGTGAGAGAGAATAGCGATGCTTTCCAGTGTCTGCCACATGTCATTTTCCCCCATGGCTTTTGCTTCTCTCCGGAGCAAATTCTTCTGGATCTCAATGACTTCCTGCTAGGACTGGATGGACCTATTCTGTAGCATGCTGAACTGAGACCCAGAGGAGGAAGGGACTTGTCTAAGATGATCCAGTGGCTTAAGAACAATGACAAATTCACCCTCTGACCAGATGCTTCCCAGCCTGGCGTTTGGGTCAGTATCCCAGGTGCTAGGTGCCACCCTCTGAGAACTCTGAGATGAGACTGTCTTGGTCCCCTTCCGCATTCCCTCTGTGAAGAGTTGTCTGTGAAAGGGTCAAGCTGGGTGTGTGAGCAGGAGCAAGCCCAGACCCTCTCAGGGGGAGCATGTGTGCACCCGAATGTGGCTACACACACCTGTGTGCTGGCGTAGCTCTTGCAGCCTTGTGTCACCACTCACGGCCTCTCAGGTTCCATGCTGTGCACCGTGTTGTTCTCCAGGTTCCAGGTGGTAGTACCTTGGTGGGCTGCCGACTGAGTGCTGCTGTCTCCACAGAGCCTGGGGTGGATCAGAGCTCCTGAGTTGCTACAATGCCCTGGCTCTCAGCAGCTGTGCTCCCCAACTGTCTGGAGCATGGACACTGTCCCTTTGTAACATGTGGGGGCCCCTCAGGTTCCTGTTTTGTCAAATCCACCATGCATGGACCAGCAGTGAGCAGAGGGCTGGCTGTGGGGCTGCAGGTGGGTGAGAGGCATCTGGGCTGGGGGCAGAGTATGTGGGGCAGATGGGCAGACCCCAGCACATGCCACTGGCCCAGCTGCACCAGAGCGCTCTCTGCTGCTTCCTGTGAAGGCCATGTGTGCACATCTGGGCCATGTGGGGTCGCTTCCCCTACCGTGCCAGGTGGGAGGGGTCCAGGGAAGGCTGGACTTGCTGGGAAGGGGAGGGGAAGGCCTAGTCTCGGGGGCCTTGGGCTCCTGGCTGGACCTTGTGGCTCTTCAGCTGTGCCCAGCCCTGGGCATCTGGCCTATCATGGATTTCCCATGTCCCCAGAGCCTCTTGGTGGAGATGGAAGATTGGCAGTAGATAAGACATCAAAGGAACCTGGGGACTATCTCACCCCCCCAAGTGGGGACCTAGTAATTTCCTCCGATGTCCATGCCCAAGGAACTCAGTGCTTCCAGAGGGGACAGGCATGGTGTCCCCAGCTCAGGACCTTCCTCACTTGCAAATCCCCTGGGGTAAAAGATGGATATAGGGTACCTGCAGCAGTCTGTGTACATTCCCTCAGGCCACAGGGTACAGGTCTGCATGCACTAGAGACTCCACACAGGTAGGAGAAGAGAGGGTGACAGAGGGTTGTCCCCTGCCCCCATGTCACAATTACCAGGGTAGCTGCCTAGTGATCCTCATTGCAGGGTCACTTCTGGGGTCTGTTTTGCGTTTCTGTATGGCTGCCTTTCCATTTTACAGTAGAGGACATGTGGAGAGAGGGTCCACAAATCGTTCAGGGTTACAGAGTGACCAGGATCTGTCCACAGGCCTGTCTGGCCCTGGGGCCATGGCTCTTAGCCATGGAGATCCAGGCTAGTGGGTGGCTCTTGTGGCTTTGTGGCTATGTCAGAGATTGGTGTTTTAAATAAACCTTGACAAGGACCCTGAACAGCTCCAGCAGAGTGGTTTTGCCCTGGGAATCCCACACTCAGGGATACTCACAAGACACGTAGAGAACAGTTTCAGATGGAATCCAATGCTCTCAGAGCCCTGTGGGCCCAGGAGTCTTGGTGGGCTTCCAGGAGGGCATCTGGAGTGGCACTGAAAAGCAGGCCAAGGCTGGCAGAGAAGGGAGAGGGCTGAGGCCTCTCGCACTCTCTGGTAGGTTCTAGACCTCGTTGCTTGGTAATACTTTCCCCCCATTGTCCACTGCAATGCATTTGCAGGTAGGAAGTGTTCTGTTGCCCACTTTATTGGTGAAGAAAGGTATCTTATATGGTTCGGGTCCTGCCTGAGGTCAGGAGGCTGGCCAGGTGTAGGTGCCAGCCCAGCATTCTTCTTGCTTCGTCTTGCTTGCTGGAGCCAGGAGAGGGTCCAGCTTAGGGGTAGGGTGGGATGGAGTCTTTGGTTCACATGGGACCTTCTGAAAATGCCCAGACCTGCTCCTCTGCAGTGTAAACATCATGTGGGATGAACACAAGTATGTCCTAGCATCCTGTCTGTGGAGGCGGAGTGGCCTTGCTTCCTCTTCGGGCCAGCTCCTCTGACTAGAGTAAGAGGACAGCCATGGCATCCTTTGCAGGCCCAGAGCACTCCATCCCCAGCTCTGATGGGGGGCTACCCACTACGGTTTAGGCTACAGCTGAGTGCCCTCAGCAGTTTCTACTGGCTGAATGGAAAGACCCCTGCTAAGCCACAAGGTCAAAACCAGCTGAGACTCAGGAGTTCCCACATGCCTGAGGGTCAACAGCTTCTTTGTAAAGCGGAGGCGATCATTTCCACCTCAGCTGGGCTGCTTGTAGGGTGAAAATCAGCAGTATGTTTGAGATAGCACCCTCTGCCTGGGCTTCGTCCAACAGTGCCTGGACTAACAGTTGGGGGACATCTCTGCGGTGTGGCCTTGGCTGCGCGATGCAGTCCCTGTAGCTCAGTGAGGTACGATCAGACAGGTAGAGGTGTTTGTCCCAAACCCCAGCCCTGGGAAGTGCCTGGAATTCAGAGCAGCCCTCTCTGCTTCCCCTAGCCTTCTAGAAGCAGAATGAGTCAATGACCCTCACGGTGCAGGGCTGCCCCAGCCTGGGACCTCTGAGCTGGGCTGTCGAGAGCTGGGGGGCTGCGTTCTGTAGCACAAGTACCAGGAAGATATTTCGTGACCTGGCTGAGCTGAGGAGCAAGCCCTTGGGGCCGGGGAGGGGAGATGAGCTGCCCAAAAGGTGCCCTTGTTGTCCCCACATGTGGATGTGGGAGCCAGAAATCCCTGTGCCCCATCAGAGGAGCTTCTGGCTCTGGCCAGGTCTCAGTGGGGCAATCCAGGGCCCAATGTGTCACCTGTTTCCTCCTATGCAGATGGGACATTTGTCTTTATCCAGAGAGGTTTTTTGTTTATTTTTTGTATTTAGGACAGGGTCTACAGGGTCTCACTAAGTAATTCATAGTTGTGATCCACTGGTGTTCAGCCTCCCAAGAGCTGGGATTACAGGCACACGCCACCACCCCCAATCTCAATTGCTGTCTCAGTGCGCCCCAGGGGCTGCATGGCATGCTGGGGATGGAACCCTGGCCCTGGCTGATGCATCTGCCTAAGCAGGTGCTTTAATCCACTGAACTATTTGGCTGGCCCTTATCTGGGGAGGTTTTAAGTGGGATAAGCCACCTGTATAGCTGTCATGGTGCCAAAAAGAGAGGAACTCAATTGACACTTTTTTCCTGGTTAGACCTGGAGCTTGGCAGAAGCATCAGGACAGAGTGACAAGTCTGGGTCAGAGCTGGCCCAGAACTTGGCATGAGGCTCCTGGGTCAGCCTTAGCCTTACTTATTGATCTGCATTTGGGCAGTGACCTTGGGTCACACACACAGAGCTCCTGAGATTCATGCTTCCTCCTGGAGCCTAACTGTTCCAAGCCCAGGTGCATAGGGCTGGCTGTTTAAGAGAGACCCTCAAAGTGGCCTCTGGGTGAGAACAGCACTATGTGGTGCCCAGTCCCCACCCCCACCCCAAAGGCAGGCTTTACCTCCCCTGGGTGAAGCAGAGGTGCTGGGCAGCCCCCGGAGACCCTTTTCCCTACCCCAGGACTGCCAGATCCTGTTTATTTGTTCAGGCTGATAAAGCAGAGTTTTCTGGACTCTGGCTAGGAACAGGCAAAGGGCACTGTTCTGCCAGCTTTTCTTGGATGGGATTGGAGCTGCAGCTAGGCCTGGGAGCAGGGCTGCAGGGGTGTTGGCTGTCTCTCTGTTTCTTCCCACCCTATCCTGTATTTCCTAGTCTCAGAGCCCCCATCTGGTGAGGGACAGCGGGCACCGAGTCCTGGGTGCAGGTGTCCTTCTCGCCCCTCTCTGGAGCTCTTCTTTGGGGACCTCCTGCTACATCCACTGTCATGATTTTGCTGATTCTCCAGCCATGCTCTTGTATGTAATAGGATGGAGAATGGAGGCTCAGCAAGGTTTGGTCACTCACCCGGGGTCTTACGGCATAGCTCACCCCAGCTAGAGCCAGGGGTTGGACCAGGGTGACGGAGAGAGTTGTGTGCTTTGGCTCTGCATTCTCAGGGAATGAAAGAGTTATGAACCTGGTTCAAAGTATCCTGGAGTCACCTGGTGATTGTTGAGGGGCATGGCCCATGTGTTCACTGGTCCTGGTCCAGCCTGTCCTCTCTAGGGCCTGCTGTACCAGTCTTCCCCTGGCTCCCAGGGACACTGCTCACCAGGGAAGCCCCAGGAATGGGGAGTTAAGGACAGAGGGCGCCTTTAAAATACTATGAAGGCTGGCTGGCCTCTTGACATAAGGCAGGAGTGGGCAGGTCAGCAAAAACTGTACAGGGTGGGGCAGAAAGTGGGATCAGTTAGGACCCTCAATCTGAGGTGACAGTCTTGTTCATGCGTAATCCACAGGACCTAGAATAGAGATCCTTGGCATCACTGGGATTCTGGACCAGGAATTCTTTGAAGACCTAAACTTTGATTCCTATGGGGATGTTGTAAGACTCCATAAACTGTAGGGTCACCATGCTTCCCTGTGGTGACCACCAAGAATGTCTCCAGACATTGAGCAGTGTCTCTTAGAGTGGAAATCCTCCCTGGTTGGGAACCACTGGCTTTGAAGAGTGGCTGGAGTACGTGGTGCCCTCCAGAAACTCGTGAAGATGCGCTGTGTGGTCCTTACTCGGGGATGTGGCCTAGTCAGGGAGACGGGTGCTGCACACAGACCCACAGGGCCTCAGAAAGGGGGAGGCCGGTGTCAGAGGCTGTGGTCGGGGGAGCACGTTGGCTGCTGAAGTGAACAGTGCATCATAGGGACAGGTAGTCTGTGGGTTAGCACTGGTCAGATGGATTTTGCAGAGTTTTGGTGCTGCAGTACCACACCGTTCAAGCGTGCTGTGGTCTTCCTGGCTCTCCAAAGCGCAGCACATGTGTTGGTGGAGCGTTCAGAAATGAGAGACTCCATCCGGGCCCTGTGGCAACCCCTCTGCAGGCAGTGAGTAGCTAGCTGGTACTGAATGCTGGACGGGTGCGTCGAGGCTGGCTGGGTCTGAGGGATTGATCGCGCACCTGCACGTGCCATACCTGGCATATGGAGGGTCCAGGGTGCATATAGAAAAAGAGAAATAATTACGTCCTTTTTAATCGCTCTGGCTGAGCAGAGCCCAACTCCCCTGGCTGTCCCCCGGTACCCATGTCTGTTCTGTATGATGTTATGATTTCACACCCAAGTTTAAGTTCTTTGAAGGCAGGATCCAGGTTTTTAATCTTTGATCCCCAAGTGATCAGCAAAATAAATGTCACTGGAAGAATGAATGAAGGCTGGGGAGATGGCTCAGCAGCATACATGCCTCTCTGGCAAGTGCAGGGTCCTGAGTTCAATTCCTGGTAAAAAAAAAAAAAAAAAAAAAAAAAGAAGGGAACCTTAGAGCTAAAAAATAATCCATTCCCTCAGAGAGACGCCTTCTCAGGGAGGCAGAAGGACAAAGCTGTCGGTGGAAACTAATCATGCTTCGCTTCGGGTTGACTGTCCTGGTGAGCTGGGCCTCACTGCCTTTCCTGCACAGCGGGACTGTGGACACTTCCCCGAGTGTGAGGAGGAGCTGAGATGTGTGTGTGTGTGTGTGTGTGTGTGTGTGTGAATAGCGGGTGTGATCTTGCACAGATCATAAAATCGGGGCAGAGGGCCCAGATACACTTCGGGCAGGTACGCCAGGCGGGAGTGGAGGTGGGGGCATGCGTGCGCAGCACAGAGGCCCCTGCAGCCCCCTGACTCTGTCTCCCACTACCCCCAGGTGCCATGCTACTCATACGGGCAGAAGCTGTCCAAATTGGCCATCCTGAGGATCGCCTGTAACTACATCCTGTCCCTGGCGCGGCTGGCTGACCTTGACTACAGCGCCGACCACAGCAACCTCAGCTTCTCTGAATGCGTGCAGCGCTGCACCCGCACCCTGCAGGCTGAGGGACGTGCCAAGAAGCGCAAGGTACACAGCAGGGCTCGGGAGGCAGGATGGGACTGTGGGGCCGTGTGACACATCGCAGGCTTGCCACAGAGCTGGAGAGACCAGCGTCTTGGAGTTTTCTGGGAGTCCTAGCTTTAAGGATCCTCAAAGCCCTGGGATCCTGTGGGGGATGCTGCCCCAGCCCTGGCGCTGCTGGGTGACTTTGGACAGTCACTCGGCCTCTCTGGGCTTCTCATCACTTAGAAGAGGAGGTTTTTTCTTTAATTCGCAGAAGCACTTTCTGGCCTTATGTGCTCTGGTGCCGAGTGCCCTACATGATTCCTGACAGATGTCATATCAGGGTGAGAGTTCCCAGCTTAGGGTGACAGACAACCCGGATGGAGCCTCTACAGGGTCTGGGGATGTGATTAGGCCTGTGGGTGATAGAAGTGTGCTAATTTGTGTGATAGTCATTGATTCGTTCATTCTAGAGAGATTTACTGAGCGCCACTGTCAGCTGAGCAATCTGGGCAGGGGTATAAAGACGCAGCTATGTGGCCCTGGTCCCCATGCAGCTCACAGGATGGTCAGACAGCCCCTCCCAGGACAGTAAGGGGCCGTCCTGTAGTGTCCTGGGGCAGGGGAAGGCCGGGTACAGCAGGTAGAGGGTAGCTGTTCTGCCCAAGGGAGCTCCAGATGGCGTCTTAGTGGACAGTGGTGCTTGGGCTGGAACAAGTGGGACAACTTGGAGGCCACCAGGCAGATGGCAAGGAACAGCCTCCAAGGCCTAAGGAATGGCCTGTGTGAAGCCTGATATTTGGGGAAATTGCTGCAGGAGGACAGGGATTGTGCACAACCAACGTTTATTAGATGATGCTTTGGGCATTTCTGGTCAAGGATCAGTGCGGAACAGAGATTATGGTGTCTGAATCTCTGGTCCCAGCTGAACAAAGCGAGAAGGGCAGAGAAAGGGTTTGGGTCTGTGTCCGCGTGCAGAGGCCCCGCAGCCCTGGGTACTCAGGTTGCAGGGATTCTGTCCTCCTCCACCCGGTCCTTCCTGGCCTGCTCCTCCCCTAGCCCCTCTGTGGCTCTTGGGACTTCTGGGCCCCCAGCCAGCTCGGCCCTGTGTGGACTCTCAGGCCACCGCCTTTGCGGTAATTGCATGCTGCATTCCTGGGGGTGATTTCACATGGACCAATTAGAAGAAATCCTCATCAAGTGGGTGATGGAGGAAGCGCAGGGCCGCTTTCCTCTGGGAGAGTGAGCTGGTAAATGAAGGGCAAGATTGATGGCTCCCTGCTGTGCTCCGTGACAAAGGAGGTTTGTAAACTCTCTGTGAACTCCTTGGCATCCAGGGGGCTCGGGCAGTAGGGGCAGGCGCACTTCAGTCCCCTCCCTGCCAGCCCCTCTCCCACCAAAGGTTGCAGGTGCTGCCCCTCCTGCCGCTGGCGCTTGAGGAGCTGACAGCATCCTAGACAGCGGGGAGGTGGGATGCCAGGCCTGCCACCTGGAGATGAGGGAGAAAGCAGGGCTAGGCTTTGGCTTCCTCTGAAATCACCTGGAGAAACCCTGGAGATGCTGTGTTGTACAGATGGGGAGGTGGAAGAAGCGGCAGGTTGTGGGTAAGGTCCCTGTGAGAGCACAGCTGGGCAGGTGTCTGGCAGGAAGGGGGTCCCCAAGGAGCCCTTGCTACCAGCTGCCTCCTGCCTGAGGGTAGTGAGCCCCTAACACTTGTGCCCTGGACCTGAACTGCCTTCCAGGGGTAGATGGGAATCCAGGTGGAAATGTCTCTTCCTCTCCCCCTTTCCCTTCCCCTCCCCTTCCCACTCCTCCCCTGCCCACTCAGCCTGGTTTGGGAACCAGAGATAGACCAGGTCTGAGGGTCTTTCCTGTCTCCTGGCCTCTTTTCCAGCAGTAGACTGTGAGGTCACCGAGCAGCGACTGAGAAGTGGGGGTCCCTCTGTCTTTGCCCTAAAGATCCCCCTCCTCTCATAGACATAAATCCTGTCCACAGTGACACATTTCCTCTGTGAAAAAGCTCAGGATACCCCAGCGACCCTGGATCTCTCCTCAGGGACCAGTGTTTGTAATTCAAGCCCCGAAGGCCTCCTGCCTGTTTCAGGAGTTTTGCTTAGACAACCATTCTTTCCCATCTCAATCTCTGGTCTCCTGGAGCCTTTGGCCCCTGTCGCCCACCTTCTGGGTTCCTGAATTCTTAACTGCTTTTTGTCATTCTCACTCTCTCCCTGGTCTGTTGCAGTCTGGCTCAGCTGCCCTGCTCATCCCTTCTTTGGGACTTATGGCACCAGTGTGAAGCTAGGTGGGGTAGCAGGAGCCCCAGAAGTTCTGCCTGGGAGTTGGCAGGCTGGGTTCTGGGGCTGAGCAGCCTGGAGCCCCCAGATGTTCCCTGCCTACTGGGCCTGGGGCCTCCCTTTCTTTCCAGGGGAGCACATCTGTAATTTTCTCATGGTTGTTAAGCTGCAGCTTGACCCTCACTGGCTTTTTCAGCCTCCCTTTGTGGCCTTGCATCCGGGGCATCTGAGGCCCACTTTGGTTTACTGAGATTCTGTTTCAGGAGCCCACATGTATTTTTTTTAAAAAATGTTTTATTTATTTATTTATTTGGTACAGGGTCTCACTATGCAGCTCAGACTCGGAGTGATCCCACTGTCTCAGCCTCCTCAGCACTGGGATTATAGGCATGTGTCACCGCCCAGTTTCAGTAACCCGCAGAACATGTGGTACCATGGATCGAACTCGGGTTCTTGCGCCTGCCAGACAGGCACTTAAACCTTTGAGCTGTCTCCCCAGCACCCACCCCGCGCCATATTTCTTTCTTTTTCTTTTTTCTTTTTTTTTTTTTGGCGGAACCAGGGATTGAACTCAGGCCCTTGCACTTACCAGGGAAGCGCTTATTCCACTGAGCCATCTCCCTGGCCCCAATATTTCTGAGGGATAATAGATGGCACCTGGCTGGGTGAAGACATGGAGAAGCAACCTGAATCATGCTCTGCGTGCGTCGCCTGCAGGTCTCAGCTCTGCCACACCACAGCCTGGCCCAGGTGGGATCCAGGCCAGAGAGAGGGGCCTGAGGGTCTCCTCAGCACACAGTCCTTCCCTCCCTCCTTCTTTCCCTTGCTCTCTCCTCTCCTTTCTGTCCCTCCCTTTGGTGCCAGCCATAAAGTACCCTATCTGTGCCACATGCAGTGTAGGTTCAAGGTAGTTGCTGCCACCAAACGTCAACTACACACCCTGGTCTAGACTACAGTCCTCGAAACCAGAGCACCAGGGTGAGGAAAAACAGGGTTGAACTGCAGAAAGCCTATTCTTGCACCAGGAAACTGGGGATGGGCTGGGGTCTGTATGGGTGGAGGACAAGTTGGGTGGCGCTGTGCTTGGCTGGGGTAGGTGGGGTGGGAGGGACTGAGCCTCTGCACCTTCCCTCTAGGGTCTGCGCTGCCTTTGCTGGCTCTGAAGGAGCACAGGCTCTCTGTGCTGTCACTCTCCCTCTGCCACTGGCATCCCCTTTGAGAAGGCCCTGGGTCAGGGTGCTTGGGTCTGGCTTGACTCTGAATGACAGGGACAGCAGATGTGCCTGCCCAGGTCTCTTCCTGTTACAGAGCCCCCCTGCCGGCTCCAGTCCTGCCTGAGGACCTCACTAATCCTGCTTACCTCTGGAAGGCTTTACCTCCAAACACCAATCACATGTTTATTGGGGGATTAAGTTTTCAACCTTTGAATGGGGTACCTTCAAAGTGTAGCACCCTCCGAAGCTCAGCTGCCTTGTACTGCACAGCCGCCCACCCAGGCCTCCACGAAAGAAGTAGCTGTGGTGACAGGAACAGGCCCCTAGGCCAGGCTGCAGAAGGCTAGGGCAGAGGTCAGGGCTGTCAGGCCGTGTGCAGATGGCTGCTCTGGCCGCTGTGTTGCTGATGGCTGTCCCCAGTGTGACTGATGGCTGACTGAGAGTCCACTCAGGACTGCTGCTCTAGAGAGGTTGGGCCACCCTCTTTCAGGACCCAAGCTGGAGTGGCTGAACTCAGTGTCTGAGGAGGTGCCCTGTCCCTCCAGGTCTGTGTTAAGCACAGGATTGAGCTGGACTTGGTTCCTTCCCAGGCCCCGGCTGTACCTTCTGCCCATCTCAGCCTTCTGGGCTGGGTGGGAGACCCATAGCCTCCACCTCCTCCCTTCTGGGTCCTGTGGGCTGCAGTCTGACAGTGCAGAGGCTGGAGGCTCAGGCCTCAGGCTGTGCAGCAGGGAGACAGCCGAGTGGGGAGCGCAAGGCTCTGGAGGCAAAGCAGTGAAGCACCTGGCACTGGGCATGATTCTATTGCTCCTGTTTTTAAAGTAGGAACTCCTGGGAACTCTGAGGACAAGGGAGTGGGTAGCGGAGAGGAAAAGGAGAGGGAAAGAGAGAAGGATGTGGGGAAGAGAGGAGGCCGAGGGAGGAGAGTGCAAATCTGTACTTCCATACCTGGACTCCTGGAACCCTGCCAGGCCCCCTGGCTTAGGGGTGGGTGTGTCCACAGTCTAGGGGACCCCCTTCCAGCAGTCTTTAGCCACTGACCAACAACAGCTACTGCTGAAGTTGGTGCTGTCCTGCGAGCCTTGCTTGTGAATGGTCATCAAGTCCCTGCCCTGGAGTTGCTCACAGGTCTTGGGGCCGTGCCTGGGGACAGTGGGCAGGGCCCCAGCAAGGGTATGCTGAGTAGGTGTGGCTCAGTGCATCTGTGTCTTCCCTTCATTCTCCGATGCTTTCTGGGGAGGGGACGCTTTGTGTGGTGGGTGATGGCAGGTCCAAGGTGGCCTGACTCCTCTGCAAGAATGTCTTGAGTACAGGCTCTTTTAGCTTCAGGGCTGGGACAGGCTGAGTTGGTGAATTGGTTTTGAGTGGGTGGTTTGGGACTGGTGTGGGCTGGGGGCACCTGAGGGGCCCCTTACTGTGTATGCAGCGGAGCCTGCACAGGGCTCAGGAGCACCTGCTCCTTCTCTTGCCCCCAGAACCCCTGGTGAGGCAGAGCCTTGCCCTGGGGTGTGGCTCC